ACTTTTCAGTTAGCCTGAGGGATATTTGTAGCGAATCTTAAATGTCAAATGTTTTAAACACTAACATGTTTTACTTTTCTGTATCAATACTTGCTGCCAAAATCAAATCTTTACACTTACTTGACAAAGATTATCAAAAGACGAAACAGAAATATACATATATATATATATATATATATATATATATATATATATATATATATATATATATATATATATAGAGAGAGAGAGAGATGAACAGACTGAGATAGATAGATATATAGATAGATATGAACAGACTGAGATAGATAGATATGAACAGACTGAGATAGATAGATAGATAGATATGAACAGACTGAGATAGATAGATAGATAGATAGATAGATAGATAGATAGATAGATCAGATTGAGATAGCTAGCTATCAGATACTGAGATAGATAGATATAGATAGATATATCATAATGGATAGATATATGATCAGACTGGGAGAGATATAGACGTATATCAAAGCAGATATATCAGGCGAATGTAACATAGATACATATAACCAAACGAAAGTGAGAATAGTATCAGAAATGAACAAATAGAATAAGACAGCGTTGTAGATAGAGTAGATTGACTTATATTAAAATAATATATATATATATATATATATATATATATATATATATATATATATATATATAGAGAGAGAGAGAGAGAGAGGAGAGAGAGAGACACATTATTTTATATTGAAAACTTGTCAAAATCGCTACACAATTGCAGTCGTGTTTCGATGCGCATACAATGCATTTCATCAGGCGATTGTAAATTACTGGCGAGTAAAAGATTTAATCAGATTTAAAAGTCAAAATACAGCATCTTTTTACGAAAAAAGAAAAAAGTGAAGAGAGGGTTAGTTATAAGGTTTGTGGGCTTTAATTAGATCGACCAATCGAATATGACCTATGTTAAATTTAAACTACGTTAAGAAGCAAAAACTTAAGAAATTATTTTCGGTAAATGGGTCATGACCCGTAAGTTTGAAATCAATGACAGCAACAGACGTTAACCAGTAGCGGATGTGAATGGATACATATTGTACATTAGACGATGTAATCTCCTAAGAAAAATTAAGTGGTAATCTCACTAGAGAGAGAGAGAGAGAGAGAGAGTGAGATAGTGGAAGACTGAGCCATTTACCATTTACAAGCTTGTGTGAATGGATGAAATGAACTAATCGCAGCAGATTTTAGAACGTGCTCAATACCTTGATGTAGAGCAATATTCTTAAACATCATCGTAAATTGAAACTTACCATGCTACCGCAGTGAAATTTTAACGGCTGCTGCTGCTGTTGCTTTAATGCAGCGCTCTTCAGACGAATTTTAACGCATTATAAACGTGCTATATAAACACCATACTGGCCGTATGCCGGCCAGTATGGCATTTATATAGCACGTATATAATGCGTTAAAAATTCATTTTCCCTGTCCTGTGCCGATAGCCTAGGGATAAGAGTATATGACTGAGGTCAAATCGTTTGAGATCGATCCCGACTTGAAGCAATCGGGTGTCAAGCTATACCGATGAGCTGTGATACAGCGAAACAGGTTGTCTGTGGAAGACTATATTTACTTAAACGTTAATTTTAGTGGATATATATATGTGAGTAGACGCTTTGTTTATTTATTAAACAGTATATTTATTTATTTTCGTCTACCGCGTGAATATTCGCGAAATCCTATACTACATCTATCTCTCTCTCTCTCTCTCTATATATATATATATATATATATATATATATATATATATACTACTGCTTAATAGGTAAACGGAGCATCTACATAAATATGGATATCCAATAAAAATAACGTTTAAGTGATAAAATCTGTCGGAATATCTCTTTCTTTCACTCTCTTCTCTCTCTCTCTCTCTCTCTCTCTATATATATATATATATATATATATATATATATATATATATATATATATATATATATAGTTTACCCATATAATAATAAAGAAAAATTACATTCATAAATTAGATTTAAAGTAAAACTAATATAGATGTTATTGTTACCGAAATTTTTTTTACAATATTATGGAAGTACAATTGGTCGGGTAAATAAACTATTATAAGTTTAAATATTTCTTTAATATGTTCTCGATAAATGTGCTAATAAAAATAGTAGTTAACTTATATTAAGTCCCTAAACTATTTACTTAAAAAAAATTAAATGTTTAAATCGATAACATTCATCATTTTTTAGACATCTAAATTTCTATCAAGCATTGAAATCTATCTTTTACATAATTTTGTTTAAACAAAATTACGGCCTCTTTCAATTCACTTCCCTCTCCCCCTCTCTCTTTGCCGTAACACTCATTTAGATATATCTATATTACTGTCGTCTGTCTCCTCTCTCCTTTCCATTTTTCCTTTTCTTTTCCCCCCACTACCCTCCCATTCCTATATATCATTTCCGTTAAGTTAACCATCTAAATAGGTCACGGTTCGGTCACTCCTCCTACCCCAATATAAAGCATGCTTAAGAGAAATATGAAATTTACCCCTCTCTATACTCTACCTTGTCTCGTTAACTACAACTATCACCCTCCTTGTTAAATTACAAAAATTACACTACCCATCAATTTCTAATCCCATTTTACCTTTCATTTCGTTATTGGAATTGTTACCTGATGATCTGGAGTCCTTTAAAAGGATTTTGGTGCAATAAATTATTGTAATGGTACCTTAAAGTGGTTTGTTTTCATTATATATATATATATATATATATATATATATATATATATATATATATATATATATATATATAAAATGACTAAAGACGATTCTTAAAAATCCATTCGATTATAATTTATTTCATGAATATACGAAAATATTCAGCTCTTCAGACTGATGTTTTTTTTTAATAAATGAAGTCAATTTATCCAGACGAAAGGAAAAGCGGAGAGGAGAAAAGAAAAAAAAACGGAAAAGATTTTAATGTTAAAAGAGGAAGAGAGAAATATAAAAATTTCAATATCAGTTTTTTAAAAAAATTCCAATGCCCATTTCTTGGGTACAAGAAGAGTCTATCCTCGTAGATTAAAGAAACGGTTTAGTTCAGAATTTCCTGTATGGTAACCAGATCGATATATACCTGACGAAGGCCGGAAGGCAGAATGGTCGAAACGTAGTAAGAACAACAAAATCAAAGACGAGGAGAATAGTCAGAGTATAAAAGGTGTAAGTAATTGACTAAATTCATTTTTAGATATGTCCTATTTTAGTGTCATTTTGAGACATACTTAACTAAACCTGAGGCAGTAATGTGTTTTTCATTTTAAGGCTAATCATCATTGACGTGACAATTTTTCCTAGTCTGCCAGAGATTGGTGACATTTTTGTGCTACTTCTTCTGACCTTACACACTAGTCATGCATGCAGCTGTTTTGTCAAAGACTTACAGTGTTATTGTGTAAAAACTGCTAATGTCGTAGTTAGCTTCTCCTTAGTTCCTTAACTCGTTCACCAGGGGTCTCTCTTCCCTGGCTATAAATACTCGCTGACCGTTGCCTCTTCCTCTTTTTGCCTCAGGCTTTCAGCCTTACCGCTTCGCAGATGTGAACGCTCACAGATACAGCGTTTCCCATATGCTGGGAACACGCTAAGAACAATACACGTAGGTACGAACACTCACCACAACACAACACACACATAATATTCACCACACACACTCTGTCCATGTAACTGTCCATGGAACTTGTAACCTTTAACTTGTTATTAATATATATATTTGTTTACATATATTTATCGGTCTTGTGTTTGTTTTTCTTTGCCTTCTTTGGACTTAATTAAAGTCCAACTTTCTCATGTAGTTGGACCGGCTAGCAGGAAAATTCTACCCACGTGTGTTCAACTACTTATACTCAGCAACATCACCGATACGGTCCTCTACACTTGACAGCTAGATTATGAATCTAACGTATTAAATGTTAATTTTAAAATTTTGGGCCCAAATCCGTCTGGCTCTTCTTTTTTTTTTTTTTTTTATTTCACTGTCAGGCGAATTTCTTAAAAGTCAAATTAGGAACATATGTCGACGAAAATGGGCCTTTGGTATTTAAACGCCACATCATCATGGTCGTTATGTCATACTTATTTCACTTCACAGTTTTGCTTTTCATGATAAAGTTAGTTGTATAGCAATGACGTTTAACGTGGGTGAGTCATTGAAAAATGTAACCATAATGAATATAAGACTAGAATGAAAATGTTTAAAAACAGAAATCTAGACAGATATCCCGACAGTCTCCCGTGGCATGAAATGTGACTATTGTTTATTTGTTTCCTGTAAGCTCTCCACGTACCGATCATTAAAAAGTGAAAATTCGTTTAATGCCCTCTAATAATAATAATAATAATAATAATAATAATAACAACAACAGCATTTCCTTTTAATAAAGTCATTAGATTATTACATGAAACAAGCTTGAAATTAAAAGGTTTGAAAAATAAATAAAACTATTTTGATACATCCTAACGAAAGCGAAAACTTATTCCAAATTTGATTTCCTAAACAATCGTGTGTGAGATGCATCCTTGTCAAGTGCTCAGGGAAAGCAACTGAATGCATAACTGCTTTCAGTTCCTGTATGAGGATTGAAGACATAGTCACTAAGAAGCGATTTCTCCATTTCTATATAAGTGTGTGAGCTGGTAAACTTGGGCCTCGGTTCAAGCGTTTGAGCATGCGCAACGATTTTGTCAATAAAAATGGCCGCTGACTTCGTGACGTATAAACAGAACGTGCAGTTTAGATGTGATCGATCGTTAAACGTTGCAAAGATCAATTTTCTGATCGTGCGAGCTGACTCCAATTCTGACGATTCAAAGGTTCAAATATTCAGCCCTACCAGGAGGGAATCGACTGATAGGGAACGTGATAAAAGAGGATTCTGGCGAGCTTTATAAAATAAACAATTGATTGACATTTGCGACGTTGCTGTCATTTCACAATGGGACATAAAAGCGCATGCGTTCAAAAATTCAATGTTTACATTATTCTCCTTCGATATTCGAATAGTCCTTTCACCTTTTGGCTAAGATTTATTTCTTACTGTTTTCTTTCATCCACATTTCATTTTCTCGTTCAATATCTTTCTTTCTCTATCTATATGAGTGTTTCGCAATTATCAGATATTTCAGTTCCTCACTAAGATTAGGAACAAGGAGGGAAATACACAGCCTTGCGTACTTCTACGAATTTTTTTTTATTTTGGGAAGTGGGTCTGACCGAAATATATTCAGCACTCACTCCTATCTATCTATCTATCTATCTATCTATCTATCGTCTTTCTTGTTTTCTGTTTATCTATCGTTTTCTTTCTTGCTTCTGTTATCTACCTATCATTATATCCATCTGTCTATTTTTTTCTGTTCATCTATCTATCTATCTATCTATCTATCCATCTATCTATCTATCTATCTATCTATCTATCTATCTATCTATCTATCTATCGTTTCTTGTTTTCTCTCAATCTATCTATCGTTTTCTTTCTTGCTTCTGTTATCTACCTATCATTATATCCATCTGTCTATTTTTTCTGTTCATCTATCTATCTATCTATCTATCTATCTATCTATCTATCGTTTTTCTTGTTTTCTGTCAATCTATCTATCGTTTTCTTTCTTGCTTCTGTTGTCTACCTATCATTATATCCATCTATTTTTTCTATTCATCTATCTATCTATCGTTTATTCTTTGTTTTCTTTTCATATATGTTTCGTTTTCTTTCTTGTCTTCTGTTCATCTACATATATCCATCTGTCTGTTGTTTTCTGTATATCTATCTATCATTTACTTTCTTTTTCTCTTCATCTGTCTATCTATAGATTTATTTCTTGTTTCTTTTTTCATCTATCTATCTATCTATCTATCTATCTATCTATCTATCTATCGTAGTTCTCAAAACATACCAGCCACCTTTCTTTATGTCTTTCTTTCTTTCCTCATTATTTATCTTGGTCATATTTTTTCATCACCATATCTATCTATCTATCTCATCCAGGTCATATTCTGATACACCCTCTCTCTCTCTATCCCTCTTTCTCTATCTCTCTCTCTCTAACTGAAAAGCTGAGTTCTAATTCCAGTTGTGTTCGTTATATTCACTTACGCGCAAATACTCTTGAGAGAGGTATAAATCATTATTACTTTTTAAAAATCTTATAATTTTGTTGCGTTTACTACTAGTCAGTTTCCTTTTATTATTTACCTTTCAATTATTTTTAAAAACAACAACAACAACAACAATAATAATAATAAAATATTCTAATATATTTGATAATAATTTATATATATATATATATATATATATATATATATATATATATATATATATATATATATATAAATTCACCTTTCGTTGAAAACAGCTGACAAAGTGTGGTGGCTGAGTTATTTATATAATTTCACTTGCGTTCGTATATTTTTTTTCTTTTCAGGAGATAAATTATATGAAATTGTCTGAATGTTTACCAAGCGCTTTCGGCTATACTTTTAGCCATTATCAAGGATGAATTTTCTTTTAATTTTAACTGAATATATGGATTTTTTTATCTGGGTATTTAGAATTATAAGAATTTGCTGACCGTGTTTACAAAATAAAACATTCCTAAATCAGGCGTTTTCAACGAAACTTGCATAAAAGAGGGATTACTTGGCCAAATACACAATGTATACTTAAATATATAGATAGATATGAACAGACTTCAATAGATAGATAATGAACTGACATATCTAGCTAGCTAGGTAGATAGATAGATAGATAGATAGATAGATAGATAGATAGATAGATAGATAGATAGACAGGTAGGTAGACAGATAGGTAGGTAGATAGATATCAATATTTAAACGTTATTTTTAGTAGATACCCATATTTTAATAGAGGCTCCGTATTTTATTTATAAATATGATATATTTATTATAATCCCAAATATTCGAAAAATCTTATTAAATAAAGATATGTGCTCTAATGTGATTTGCCGAGTATTGAGAAAAATAAACAATAAATACTAAAATATTACCATAAAAAACGGCTTTATCTGTTTTAATCATTATCTTTCGGTATTGCCAATCTAAGGTAATATATCTTTTTCACCATGTTTGTTATTAATTGTTTGTTTGTTTTTTGTTATGAATGGGCTTTTAATTTGAAGGCTCTAACTAGATAGAAAGATTACATATATAGATAGATATGAAGAGACTTCAATAGATAGATAGAAAATGTACGGATATAGCTAGATACCTAGCTAGGTAGATATATATGAACAAACTTAGATAGATAGATAGATAGATAGATAGATAGATAGATAGATAGATAGGATAGGATAGGATAAATACACCCGCAAATAAATAGATACGGGTATAAATACACTCATATAATTGGCAAACCGGAAAGTATTAATTAACTCAAGTATAAAAAAATTACTTTTTCCTTCAATCTTTTACAGTTACTAAAGAAAATTTTATAATATATTGCTCTAATATATATATATATATATATATATATATATATATATATATATGTGTGTGGGGGGTGTATCTAGGTGTGTGATTAATATATATATATATATATATATATATATATATATATATATATATATTAATCACTAAACTCAGTTGACTAAGTGCCACAAGGTCCCCAAATGACCCTCCGCAGGTTCGGAATTCAGAGTTGTGCTTCTCCTAGACCAGTTGCCATCCAAGCCTATAGAACCCAGTCAGTCCTGGTATTTTACCCATAGCTGGAGAGAGAAGAAAAGTATTCATACCTTTCCCAAGGCACGGTGGAGTAATGGATAGCGGCTTGGATTGAGGAATCGCAGAGCCGAGGTCGAATCAATTACATTTCACTTACGTGCTAATACCCTTGGTATATATATATATATATATATATATATATATATATAGAGAGAGAGAGAGAGAGAGAGAGAGAGAGAGAGAGTGAGAGAGAGGGGGAATAGAGAAAGAGAGAGAGAATACAAGTAAAAAGTTTTTCACTTAGCTGATTGATGTTACCTTCAGTTTTCCGACTCCAGGGTTTTGTAGACGGACCCTCCAGGAATCACTCCTCCCACTCGTCAGTGGGTAGCTGCCACTTCGTTTTTGAGTATTAACATTCGAAGATATCATTGTAATAACCGATTTTTTTCTTAAGCAAGATGTTTCGATATTTGGACGTTTTGACCGGATTTTAGAAAATGCTTTTGGCTAATAACTTTTCAGTACTCCCTTTGTAGATAGGAGGTGGGGCACTGAAAATTTATCCATGAGACAAGATGACTGACCGAGAGGCACGAAACATATATTCCGTTGCACACCGTTAACCCCTGGGTAAATGCACTTGACTTTTTCTTTCTGAAGATAAGTTTAACCTTTCGACAATAACAGCAACAAAAATACTTACGTTTTGTTTTTTGGGGTTTTTTTTCCGCATTGAAATACTGATTCTCCGAAGAGGACTGAGAGGATGATAACGTTTTAGTGCAGCCTTGTTGAGTGATACACAAGATTGGAACGAGAAAAGGTGATAAATTCCGTTTTTTTTTTTTTTTTTTTTTTACTTTCTTTCTGTTTTCTTCTGTGATGATTTAAAATGTTTATGGGCTTCTTTTTTTTTATTTGCGCAATAATCGTATAAATATATTTCTCTTTTAAACAGACCTTAGTCAAAAAAAGAAGCACAATGAAATTATATGGAATTCCTTCTGTATTGGTTACTTTGTTTTTTATTTTATTTTATTTTATTTTTTATTTTATTTTTTTTTGTTGTTTTGGTCATAACATTTTCTTTTTGCTGATTTTATTTGTCGTTCATTTCCCTCCCCACCAGCAATATCCACATCTCTGACATGTCGAGATTAGGCTATTAATTATTCAAAGAAAACGGTTTTATTGCGTTCATAAAATGGACAGCTTCTGAAAATAGTTTTACTTAATTTACTTCCTTTCTTTATACGCTTTTATTTTTTCATCTTTTCTTTAACTCTGCTTATCTCATTGTTGAGCGCGACCAAGAGTTATCTCCACCTGTTTGTTAAACCATTCGTTAGGGGCACCAAATGTAACATTTAATAAAATGTCCTGTATTTTAGCATCATTATTATTTTTATATATCTTTATATAACTTAACATCACGATGTCAAGATTTGTTAATATTAAGAAGAATTATTATTTTGTCGTTTTGAAGGGATGTTGCACATTTTATTTCATTTTTTTGTTTCTTATTTTCTAGTTTATTCATTTCTCATTCATTATTCGTTTACTGGGATTAACAGTAATTTTTTTTTTAAATGACAAATCATAATAATTAAAATATTGAAGATTGACTAATAATTATTGAAATTCAGTTATGCAAGCGAATGCCGTAAGGAAAATTAAAATATGGCATTTAATAATAATAATAATAATAATAATAATAATAATATGATAGAGTGCGCCAATATCTGCATGATAGAATGGGCTAATATCTGCATGATAGAACGGGCCAACAGATGCATGATAGAATAGGCTAATACCTGCATGATAGAATGGGGCTAATATCTGCATGATAGAATGGACCAATAGCTGAATTATAGAATGGGCTAATATCTGCATGATAGACTGGGCAAATACCTGCATGATAGAATAGGCTAATATCTGCATGATAGAACGGGCCAACAGATGCAGGATAGAATAGGCTAATACCTGCATGATAGAATGGGCTAATATCTGCATGATAGAATGGACCAATAGCTGAATTATAGAATGGGCTAATATCTGCATGATAGACTGGGCTAATACCTGCATGATAGAATAGGCTAATATCTGCATGATAGAATGGGCTAATATCTGCATGATAGACTGGGCCAATAGCTGCATGATAGAATGGGCTAATATCCGCATGATAGACTGGGCCAATAGCTTCATGATAGAATGGGCTAATATCTGCATGATAGACTGGGCCAATAGCTGCATGATAGAATGGGCTAATATCTGCATGATAGACTGGGCCAATAGCTGCATGATAGAATGGGCTAATATCTGCATGGTAGACTGGGACAATAGCTGCATGATAGAATGGGCTATCTGAATGATAGCCTGGGGCAACAGCTCACACATTATATTTGTCTATGTAAATAGTGTTATCTTAATTTCTTTTTTTATATATCGTACCTATGAACACTAATGCGTATGAACCAATCCTCATAAATACGTTAGACATTATTGTAAGTGGGGGTCCCAAGTGCTGTCCAAGTACTCCACCTACTTCACGCCGCTGGCGAGTATTGTAATTTGTTGATGTTATAAAGATTACCATTTGATTTCCAACCTCTGTTTTGATTATTTCTCATTCAGTAATACTTTCTAGATTGCAACACATTCTTTCTTTCTTTCTTTCTTTTTCCTTCTTTCTTTCTTTCTTTCTTTTTCCTTCTTTCTTTCTTTCTTTCTTTCTTTCTTTCTTTCTTTTTCCTTCTTTCTTTCTTTCTTGTATTACATGTCGTTCCGCGTCACATTATTCTACTTTGTTTCTTTGTTTCTTTCTTTCTTTCTTTTATTTACCGTGCCTGTGAACACTAATGGCTATGTTCCAATCCTCATAAATACGTTAGAAAATATTGTAAGTGGTTGGGGGGGGGCTAGCATGCTGCCTAAGTAGTCCATCACTAGCAGTGGTTTACCTACTTCTCGGCGTTGGTGAGTATTGTATTTTGTTAATGATGATTACCATTTTCTTTCAACCTCCGTTTTGGTTAATCCTTATTCAGTAACCCTTTCTAGGTTAAAATATTTTACTTTCTTTTTTTCTTTCTTTTATTAAATTTCGTTCCACGTCACATTATTCTGCTTTCTTTCTTTCTTTCTTTCTTTCTTTCTTTCTTTCTTTCTTTCTTTCTTCCTTTATTTATTTCTGCTATATACCGTATCTATGAACACTAATCTGTATATCCTAATCCTCATAAATACATTGGACACTATTGTAAGTGGGGACAATATGCTCTCTTACCAGTCCACCACTAGCAGTGGTTTACTTACTTCACGCTGCTGACGAGTATTGTATTTTGTTGATGTTATAAAGATTACCATTTCATTTTCCAACCTCCGATTTAATTATTCCTCACTCAGTAATCTTTTCTAGGTTGAAATAAATTTCTTCTTTTTTGTTTGTTTTTTTTTCTTTTGTTTTACAAAAATGATCAGTGGAAAATACCGTCAAGCCATTTCTGACCTTAGGTCTCGGTTTGCGACTCAGAAGGAAATGTGTACACAACAGAAATGAAAGGAAGTCATCATAATAGTGATAATAGCAAGAGAAATATGGGGGACATCTTGAAGTTAGTGGGTAAATCAACCCAGGAGCCGCAAAATCAGCAGAAATCAAACTGAAATTAGAAGCCAACAATCTCGCTCATAAATATATAGAGAAAAAAAAATGGAGGCAAAAGAATCTACAGAGACAGTTCCTTCTCCAAAGCAAAAACGGTGATGTGGAGTAAATCGTATCTCACCATTTCTTAAGGGGATCACAACTTAAAGATGGGGGACCGAAAATTTATTCTTACTGAACAGGATTATCGCTTGCCTACACGCAAGTTCTAAGCTAATGTGTTGCTTAATACTCAGTCAGTTATATGCCATGCGTGATTCACGCTTAGACGATCATGTATCTTTCGATACATGACTGACGAGGCAGATTTTTTTCCCCCGCAGTAGGTTGTCATTTCTATCTGCGGTAGACCAATTGCCCTCCAAGGCTATAGAACCCGGCCTGTCCTGCTATTAGCTGGATGGAGAAGGGGTTTCATACCTTTCCCAAGGGTATTAGCACGTAAATGAATGTAATGGATTCGACTGGAATTCGAACTCTGCTCTCCGAGTCCTCAATCCGAGCCGCTATACATTACTCCCCCGTGTATGAATCCAAAATGTAGGTTCTTAACATTGAAACTATTGATCACCTTATCTCAGAATGCTCAATACTCAAAACCAGTGAATACAAAAGCCGTCATGACAGGGTAGGTCTATATCGGTATTAGAAAAATCTGCTTTTTTATTATACGGAATAAAAACAACAGCGAACTGGTATGAACATCAGCCTGAAAGTGCAGTTGAGGGAGCAAATATCATCCTCTGGGATTTTTTTTCTATAAATCTGGTTGAATACTACAAGCAAATATGTCACACACATTATTATGAAAGGTAGAAAAGACATTTTTTTTCACTGATCCACATGAGCGTATCAAGGGACAAAAACATATCTGGGAATATTTTCGAAAAACCAAACAAGATACGAAGACCCGGAGATGGAAATAGAAAAGAAAATATGGCACCGATAAACAAAAGCTGTTGTGTTTGGAGCATTGGCTTTGATAAAGAAACGAACTCGGGAAGAAATGAACAAAATCCTTGGTGCAACATATCTCAAAGAAATCGAAAAAAGGGTTACAGAGAGTGAAAGTGAGGGAAAAGACTGCGTATAGGGGTGGGGTCGAGGAAAAGATAAAAGAAGAACGGGGATCAAGGCAACAGAAGATGGAATTTAAAGTTGTATCTAAATTTTTGAAGATTGTAGTTATCAGGGAAGCAAGTAAGAGGAAGGGAGTTCCACTGCCCGGAAGCGTGAGAAAAGAAACTGCTGGAGTAGAAGTGGTGGTTGCATTTAACTATTTCAACCGTAAAAAGGTGCAACGTAGATGCCAATTTAGTAGCCCGCTTAAATTCATGTAGTCGGGCCATCAGGGAAGATAGCTCATCAAAACAGTTGCCATGAGAATATTTGTAGAAAAGACAGAGGGAAGACACATCACGTTTTTGAGAGAGAGAGAGAGAGAGAGAGAGAGAGAGAGAGACGTCAAGTCAGGACTGATTACGTTGAAGATCCTTCTTTGGATTTTGTCGAGAACCTCGAGATGAACAGCAGAGGCACCAGACCATATAAGGCAACAATATTCAACGCATAGACGAATGGTAGATTTTTAGATGTGTAAGATGGACTCTGACAAGAAAAAACCTTCTAGCACGACACAGTGAACAGACTTTCCTAGCAGTAGATGTAACTATTGATTCAATGTAGTTGTTTCATCTCAAGTCATTGGAAAACGTGAGGCCAAGAAGGCGCAGTATGGCACTCTCACGGATGTAAAGAGCTTAACCATGTTTTGCTTAATTAAGTGGAAACAACAAAAACCTATTCTTTCCTTGCCCTAGGTTACTTGTTATGAACTGGCACGTGATTAAAAAAACAAATGCTGATCAAATAGAATTTAAAAAACAATAATAATATTAAATACAATAGACACTGACAGAACAATCAAAGCCAACCGCCCAGATATTGCTATTAAAGACCACAAACAAAAAAAGTGCCTCCTTATTGATATGGCAGTTCCTGCTGACTGCAATATATCTTTGAAGTTGTCAAAATACAAGGACCTTGAAATAGAAATCTCGAAAATGTGGCACATGGGAACATCAACAATCCCTGTTGTAGTTGGAGCCCTAAGACTGGTTGGAAAAGATTGCAGTAGACTAATTGAAGGGATTCATGGAAGTTCATGCCTTAAATAGATACAAAAAATTGTTCTGACAAGTACAGCCCACATTTTATGAAGGGATTTATCTATGTAATTTTTTTTTTTTTTTTTTGTCAGTGGAAAGTGTCATGATGCCATTTCTAACCTTAGGTCCCGGGGCGGGACCCGAAAAGAAATGTGTAAACGTCAGAAATCAAAGAAAATAATAATAATAATGATGATGATGATGATGATGATAACCAGGCCAGGTAGTGTTGGGCAATGCATCCACTGGATAATATAAAAACATTATGATAAGTAAATCAAATTTAAATGGTATCAACATTATCTAGACCCTGTCAGTGAAATAGATAACATTGGGGGTTTTGCAATCTACATGGATAGAATTATAAGAGTTTATCGATCTGATATAATCAGTAAAGGTAAAAACATAAAATGTGCTTAATGATAGATAGGGTAGCTCCAACCGATTGCAATGTACCACCCAAAACCTTCGAAATAATGTCAAAATTTAAGCAGTTTGAAATAGACATACAGAAAATGAGAGCTACTATCATCTCAATAGTGATGAGGCCACCCGGTCTAATGAATAAGGGCGCACACAAGTTCATAAAGCAAATACCTGTGTCTACAGAAAAAACTAAGAAAATTCGTACTGCTCATATCCTCCGTAGAGATTTGTCCTTGTATATTATATTTTCTTTTGAAAAAGATCAGTTTACTCGTCACCTAAAATTTCAATTGCCATCCTTCTGCTTAGTAAGTTGGGCGTATTTATTATCACAGGCATTCAAAATTAAACAGCAATAAGAAGAAAAGAAAACTGAAATGATATGAAATGACATATAAATGTTGGACAAACTATTTACAGAGGTCGACAAGATGCGGTTAGTTAAAGATGTCGTTCTAACAACGAATACCTTCGGCAGAATACGCAGGTTACGAATTGGAAATGTCAACATCAAGCAGGTGCAGATTTTCAAAATGTCTGAAAAGAGTTTCTCATCTAGCGAAAGAAACATTCAAGATAATCAAGTTGCTGACAAACTGAGAATTTTCGTTACAAATAAAATAAAAAAAAACGAGTTCCGGATTGCTATGCGTTATCCATCCTCTTATATGGCAGCGAATGTTTGACAGTCTCCTCAGGGATGAAGAGAAAAGAGGATGCTGCGGAAATGTAGTTCTACAAATGGATACCGAAATTTCGATGGATTACTGTTATATAGGAATAAAATGCCGCTGCCGACACTTGAGTTTGAACATAGATTGTCGGTGAGCAAACACAGGCGATTCCATTATTGAATTGAGGAGATCACGTGACCTTAGACGAATTGTATATATGGGAGATAGCGTGTGTCTAATTGAACGCTATTTCTAGTCTATCCTCTATTACTATTTGACTCCCCATTTCTATTCTCTATACTATTCACTATATTATTTCTCTACACGGATTACTGTTCGGTGGTTACTTTCGAGCGAGTATTACCG